GGGGGGTTAACAGTAGTGCAAGTTCTGTAAAATCCATAGCGATCCCGCCGGTGGCACCAGATTTGTGTCCCGGTACCCCAATGCGCGTCCTCCATTGAGAACCCTCAAGCCATCGATAACAAGAAGCATAATGAAGCGCATGGAACACACTCAAAAATTGCGCGAAACGTTGTCGCTAGTGTGCATGGCACACAATGTGCCTCGTACATGCGGCTTGCTTGGACTAGGAGCTAAACCGCAACATCGAAAAGTGTTAAAACAAACAAGAATCAGCGCTCCCGCTGGTGGCATGAGGCGGTACCTACTGCTACGTGTAGGGATGGCGCGGAAAAACTATTGCGTGCACCCCTGAGGCATAAAATGTAAAGTACTGCCGTAATTCAACCATTCAAACACTACACAAACATTCAGGCCTAGGACACTTCGCCACTCCTCTATCTAGCAAACACGACTTTGCTGTTTCTGGGGGGAATTCCTCTAGCTGTGCGCTCCCCGAGGATCAGTGAAAACACAGCATAGAGTCCAACGTGAATACTGAACGAAAATTGTATGCGTATGCATATGATGTCCAAACTAACACCAAGGTGAATCATCATCGAAAAAAAAAAAAAGAGGCACACACGCGAATTCGCACCACAACATACGCCGCGCTCAACGGAGCGAGTACACAGACACATTTCCCAAGAAAAATCAAGCAGAGGTCGAGGTAAAACAAACACAGATCGAGCGGCGCGGTAGCAAGCCGTAAGGTTTCTCCTGCGACGTGAACGCATGCCGCCGTACACCAAAAGATTTACAAGCCAAGCAGGGTGTGTTCGTGGGCAAGTTTGAAAGAACGTTGATCGTTGGATGCCGCACGCTGCGGCTGTAGTTTGAAAAAGGGGACACACACAAGCTGGTGATCGATTGACAGCTGGTGCTTGTGATTGCGCGCATGATCGTACCCTATTGAAACACTCCCGGCGAAACGGTCCTCAAGAAAAACAAGCGGGACGAAAACAGATGCCGCCCAACAAGGGCCCCGTGCTGCTGCTGCTGCTGCTGCTGCTGCTGCTGCTGCTGCTGGGTTACAGCATCAAAGGCCAACCTTTTGCATGTCTCGATCCATCCGTAATAATGTATGTAGCACGGCGGGTCAACGTGGAAAATGAAACGGCATCCCACAACATCCACGTTCCACACAAAAACGCACCGACCACTTGCTGCTTGGCCTTGACAAAAGCGCTCGGGTCTGTCTCGCTCGGCGCGGCGGTCTTCGCGGCGGCGCGAGCGGCGGCGGCCTGGTCCCTCTTCGCAGCGGCCGCAGTCGCTTCTCGGCGTCGAGCTTCCAGCAGCTCAAACCTCGCTCTCTTCCCCGAAGGTTTCACCGGGGGAGGCGCGAAGGAGGTGAAGTCGGGCGGCGGGCGCCGCTCCCGCGTGCTTTTCCTCCTGCCCGTCGATGTCTCGCTCATGGTCGCAGCTGTGCTGTGAGATGTCTGGCGGCAGCAGCCCGACGGACTGTAGTTTGTTTTTCGTTGGGCGTGAAAACACACAGCGCTGCGCACAGCCCAAAAAATAGTCGGGGCCCCGCAAATTCGCGGGGTTCCGCAGATTCGCGCACCTGCAGAAAATG